GAAAACTGCACCACAGCCAAGCATGCGTAGAAGCATAAGTAGGTGCAAATGTATGTATGTATGTATGTATGTATGTATGTATGTATGTATGTATGTATGTATGTATGTGTATGTATGTGTATGTACATGTATACGTATATGTACATGTGTATGTGTATGCATACCTGCATGTCTATGGGTATGTCTAAATATATGTATATATATATACACACATGTTTCTTTGTGTTTATGTATGTATGTGTATATATATATATATACACATACATTCATGCATGCATACGTTCATTCATACACATCTTTCTCTTTCACTCTTGCTCTGTTTTTCTTCGTTGGTGACAGTTCCGTTGGTGTACATATCCATCCCGCACCCACGTGCAGCTTGCCTTCGGACAGGTTGCCGCGCAAATCCCAGTCGATCTCAGTCTCTTGCATGTCTTGCAAACTTCAAGCTTCGAGGCCAGACAAACCCGATCCCCATCGTGGAGGTGATGCTGAAGGATACTTTCCAATTCCGCGAGGGACGTGAGAGACTTCTAGAGCCCTGAATTATCGAGGCTGACTAGCAGCTATCAGGTTATTCACGAGAGTGTACGCATTCAGATTCAGCAAGGGGTGCATTGTGGAAACCAGCGATTCGACGCTGTATAAATAAGGAAACCAATTCTACATTTCGGAAATGCACTAGTCAAATCCGGTAACTGTGACGCAGCAGCTGTGGCTGAGAAACTGTGATCTGTCAGAGAATGGACAGGGGTCACAGTCCAGGGCTTCCGAGGGTTGATTCTGGCTTGCAGCTACACGTCATGTGCTAGCTCCGTGCACATAACTATTGGCTGGCACCTTTCCTTGTATTGTGACGACCCTTCCAGTATGGAGTTGCCAGCAGATCGGATCAGACTTGCCGTTCCTTTGTATGACCATGCAGTAAGCGCCCAGCTGCAAACTTGTCAACAGGACATTGAGATCGGCTTCAACGTCAACATGATCCAGCCGTGCCTCATTGGGCGATGATATGCACAGCAAGCAAGTTGTGAAAGGCACAATGAACAAATTGAACAACAAGGGTGCTTCTCGCAAGACTGATTGGCAGAAGCAGAAGAAAGCCAGGTTGCGATCACGGCAGGTACGTTGACCTGACGTCCCGCTGCTCCGAGATGATGACGGACGTCGTTGGTGGAGCTTGCGTTTTTGCGTAGCGGCGCAGTCCCTGGTGCACCTGGCTTTGGCACCAAGCCCTAACTGGCCCGACGTGAGCGCGGGACATTGTTCGTCCAGAGTTCCGCAAAAGAGCTTCTGAAGATCATTTCCTGTGATCTTTGCAGCATTCCGGACAACATGCAGGCTACAATGGAGGGGTGCGTTGCTTTGCATCCTCACTTCCTCTTCTCTGTGCGACCGAGAAATGTGTGATACCCCTCGATGCGTATTGTCTGCGTCACCCAAAGGAGGCCATCATGAACATCGTGACTCATATGTGCACCGTGCAATAAGGGAAACAAGCATCGCCAAAAGCTGCTACGAAAGGTGTCATTGGGAACCACCGAGCCTTCAGCACATGTTGGCACTGGGATGCGGTGCTGCCGTCGACGACAAATGTCGCGAAAGTCGTCTCCAGCACCCCACTCTGCGCATCTCGGCCTCTGCCCTTCAAAGCCCAGATTCTCCGGTAGCTGTCGGGGGCAAGGCCCCGATGAACTTCGAAATCTGCTGCAAACTTCAAGGACTTGCCTGGCTGCTCTTTAAGTCCAAGCCGAAGTGTTCGGAAGACGCTCAACCAGACCCCGATTCGCTTGACCGGGCCAGGCTACGTCCTGTCGCGGAACTGCGAACGTCACACGGCTGAAGTAGACTGCTGTTGTCATCTGTTACCAGATCGGTGCAAGCAGGCAGTGACCTTGTGCAAAATTGGCGATGGAATTTCTTGCCGCAGCAGAGCCACCGCTTCCGCATAAATCAGAGAACCTTGAGGTCCCGCCACGGAGACGAAGGTGTTCTTCTCCCCGGTGCGGCAGCCAGAGTTCGCGAGTTACTGATTCCGATCATGTCATTGAGAAGCCAGGCGGACGGACTCATTTCACCCTGGCTGAGCAACTTTTCGGACTTCATCGGCGGCCTGTCTGCGATTAGGTTTCAGACATGCCGAGTGCAGTGGTGTGGTTACCGATAATACTTCTCAAATGCTTCGGCCGTGAAAATCGGTTGCAGTTCGTGTCCAGAACCTGCCATTGTGATCCAAGGTCGCTTCTACAAGAGACACCCGCACACCAACTTGGTTGCAATGCTTCTCGTGCTTGCGCCGGAGGCTAAGACTATCTTTATCGCTGTGATTCGGCCGTATGGGTAGCTGCTCAACGCATTCGTTTTGTTTGCTTCCATCTTTCAAACTCTTCAAGCCTGGCTTCCCATCCTCAATGGGAAGTGTGACGGAAGTGTGTAAGCTTGCAGTGCCAACTTCGCACAGCCTGAAAGCGATTCGAGCACTGCATTTCGAGCAGAGTTACTCAAGCAATTCGAGTACGCGCGATTCGATACGAGCACGCCGCAAGTTCTACTGCCGCCAATTCAAGCACCAAACCCGTGAGTCAAGCACGCGCGATTCGAGCACCAGCGGTTTTGCCCACATGCAATTGCACAACAATCCATGGGCAACTGTTCTTCGGCAGGCTTGTAGGTGCTGTTTACAAGTTTATAGAGATTGGTTTGGGGTGTAAAGAGCTTTTGCAGGGCCTTTCTGGGTTTTAGGGTTTCCAAGGAGAAGGACTTGACTTGAAACTTTCGAGTGGGGGGATAGGGTGAGGGTCACGTTTTAGGGTCCGTGGCCGTATTACCGGGCAAACAGAGCCGGGTGTTGAGGGTCTTAGGGTTGAGAGCTTTCAGGGCTTGGGGGTTTTGGGGTTTAGGGTTTCAGGGTTCAGGCTTTAGGGTTTTCGGGTTGTGAGGGTTGCTTGGATGTTCAATGATGTTCGGCATATAAACAAGTGCGAATCGGCCATGCTCCGCTAATCTCGGCTTTCCAGTGCGCGGATCGGTTGTTGACCTGCGTTGGTTGACCTTCGCGCAAGCTTTAAGTTGTATTCGCTTGCTTAAGAGCAGCCTCGGTCTCGAGCAGTTTTCGTGGATTGCTGCCAAGGAAGCGCATGACGCATGACGTGCCCGAGTCCACAGGCATGTGATCCAGGGAAGCCCCCGGGGCCTGATCCGAAGGGGGAAGGGGGAAGAAGGCCCTAAGAAGGCACGTCGGAGTTCCTTCAGATGAGAGCGACTCCGCTACAGGAAGACACTCTGCAAAGAAGTTCAAGGCGGGGCAACCATGTCTTCGTACATCCGGGCCAACTTTAAGCAAAGCTTTCGGTTTCTGAAAGCCTTGGCCGCAAGAGGAAGAGAGGGCGCCTTTCCAGTAGTGAGCTCTCGCAAAACAGTTGCCATTGAAAATGGGGCCAGCCCGAAGCTACTACTCGCTCAGTCACTTGGCGCGGCATTGCTGCGAATCTATGTGCAAATCTGGGCCCAAGGCCGTAGATTGTAATGCGACGGCACAGCAACAGGAACTAAGACCCGGCTCAATTCCGAGAGGGTCCCGGTAATTGACATTGGGTGATGGGTGGCTGTTATCCTCAACGTTGGATTCGGGCGGGCTTCATTAGTGTTCCTCCGGCAGCCAGAATGTCCCTTTCAAAATAGTGCAGCATTCCATCCCATGCGCTGCAGGGTGAGTCTCTCATCCGAGTAGTCCTCGAGAAACTCATGGAGTCTGACTCTCAGATGGACTTGGCAAAGCGTGCCTTTCTGAATATGCCTTGCAGAGTTTTTTGACAGCGATCTCTGTTCTTGCATCATCTCGCCGCACTATTGAGGAATCCGCACACCTACTTTCAAAGCTGCTTCTACAATTGTCTACAACTACAGCTAGCCGTACCGGTCCACACACCGCGGGTGTCGTTCAATGGGCAGTGTTAGCTGTCGGAGAACTCGAACTGGCAATCGGGTGTCTCCGTGGATCTACGAAAACGCTGTGAGAGTGCTGGCCCAAATAATTTTGCTTGCCTTCTTTGGCACGCGTTGCTCTCTCCTCGAATGCCGGCGTATGTGTGAACACAGCGATTCACCCTGAATCTAGACACACCGAAGTGCATCGCGAAACGGTGACCGAAAACGAGGCACATGGGTGGCCTCATCGTCGTGAAGGAGTTGGCACCCCAGTCCATAGCTGCACTCCGCTGCACTCCTACTCTGCCACCGTGGCCCACGGTGCAGCGACACGTTTTCACCTGCTTGCTGCAGTTTCACCATGGAGCAGATCACCTGCTTGGCCGGAGGGCCTCGGCTTCGGCTGGAGCCGTGGACTTGGTCTCTTCGTGCCTAATCCGAAGCAGTCTTTCAAGCTTCATCAAGCTTCCCATGCTTTCCCGGATTTGAGCAGATGCGAGATTTACGGAAACAAGCAGGCTGACGCTTTCGGAGCCTTGCGCTGTCCTGGGAGGTCCGTCTCGATTGGTTCACGTCCAGATCCTCAGCGGAAGGAGGGGGCTTGAGACTGTGACAAGATTACTTTTCGCCTCGTGTCTTTGGTGCCGGTGTTTGTCGAGTTTGGCAGTCGGACAGCAAAGGACAGTGTGAATAAGATGTGGACCCAGCAGGAAAAGACGAAGAAAGCGCTCCTGGACACGCTTGTCGAGCTCGGTTTGGCGCCGGCCCTGCCTTTGGCCAAGAACTTGCAAACCTGTGAGCCGAGACCGTGAAGCCCTTTCCACCAACAAGACACCTAGTCAACCCCTAGTCTCTGTCGAGGTGGGACTGTCTCAGTCGCCAGCGGCTTTACTTCATGTCTGAAGGCTTTTCAGAGGCCGATCCCACAAGAATGTAAGCGTGCATAAAAGGGCTAAACGGTTGCGGAAGAAGGTGCTCTTGCTTACCATAGCAGGTCCACAGTGATGAAGGGTCGCTGAAGATCCTTTGCAAGCTCCTCGACGGGTGGGGCCGGCACTGTTGTCTGTGGACGAAGCCCACGACCCTCAACATGAATCGCTAGTGGCATCAGCGGAAGCTTCCTTCAGCACCTCGAAGTCTCTCAGAAATGTCTCCCACAATGGCAGGAACATGGAATGCTTCCTGAGCCTCGTGGACTTCTTGTCTCAGGCCTGGTTTAAGCTGTCCATGGCCTACGTCGCATGTGGCTCGTCGCATGACCCAAGGCATCTGCACGAGAAAAGTACGTGAAACTGATGCCGAGCGTGCAACAGGCCCCGCCATGGAAGGGTCTCGCTTTGCTTGACGCCGCAAGTCTTGCTCCCGCCGTATGCAGTTTCGTGCTTTGGATCGACAAAAACTGCTAAGAGCTTCAGCAATGTTCCTGCAATTCCGAATCAACCCATTTCGGCCTGCGGTCTGCTTGAACCCACAAAAGATGGAGGAGCAGTCGCCACACTTTCAAAGCTGCATTGTCTGTCTCAGCTCTTCGGCGTTCTCGAACCCAACGCAGCCTACGCGGCCCTCCGGCCTGGGTCGGGGACTGAACGCGGAAGTTCGGCACAGTTTTGTGGAGACGGCAGCAGCCTCACGTCAGTCACGTCATACTTGTTTCCGGAATGCTTCATCTATTGGATGCTGGCGTCTTCTGAGGTTGCCCCCCTTCGCCCGCGGCAAGAAGAAAACCGAAGAGGGTGGAAAGCCAGAAGCCCAGTAGCATTTTCCAGAAACCATGCAAGAAGTCAAGATCTTGGTGAGCAAGGGCAGGTCGGTTGTGGGCTTTGTCCAGCTGAGCAGCTGTGGTGCAGCTACTCTGGCCATCGCAGGACCACGATGGTGGCAACCGCGGAGGAGACAGATCTGCAGAAGCTGCTGATGGATGCCAGGGCCACAGAGCAAGCAGATCAGAGCAGAATGAGCTGCCGGCAGACGAGCCCCACGAGCAAACGAGCAGACACCTGGCCAATGCAAAGCACCCTCCTGGACTGAGATAGCGTTCAAGTGCTTGCCAAAGCCGATTGAGGCGAGCCGATTGGAAATGTCTGTTTTGGAAGTTCCGGAAGACCAACATGTTTTCCTACGAGGGAGAGCTTTAATAATCGGAAGTTGCTGCACCCAGGTCCTCCTGTTCGGGGGGGACCAACACCAGGGCTGAATTGGCACCTATTTTGAGAGGGTTTTAAGAGTTGACTTCAGCCCCACAGGGCAAAGCACCTTTCGATTCACTTGACCAGATTTTCCCCAGCCGAGAGTCTGCACTGTGACCCTGCATTTCTTCGCTGGATGGACCTGGGCTTGTCAGGACTTCGATTGCAGTTCGCAGCCCTTGTCGGAGTGTAGCGTATCCTCTAACCACCGGAGCTGCTCCCGGGTATTCCATTGTTCATCAGAGTACTTTTGTTGCAGGAGGATGGGCTCTCCATGGACTTTTACGTGACTTTCTGGCGGCTGTCCTTGCAGGAGACTGCTCGTATCGTAGGAATGGCATGTGGACAGACATCGCAAATATGATACGTAAGTCTTGAAGAGAGCTACGATGTTCAGGACATCTTTGTTCCCACCGAGGGCTACGAGAAAGTGCTGACCAGGATGTCGCAAGGCCCAGTGTCGTCGCCAGTCTTCCTCGACTCGACCTTCCCGATCCGCTCCTTGTAAGCATCACACAGTCCTGCGTGCAGGTCAGAAGACCCTGGAGGCGTGGAGATTTGGGCACCCCTTGTGGCGAGCAGATTGCAGAACTAGATCCTTTGCAGCTTGATTAGAGGAACGAGAGACCTGACTCAGGAGTCGAAAGCCAAGCTCGATCGGAAGTACAACGTTGACACACACAGTCGTGAGTACAAGGTGTGGCGCTGACCGACCCAGACAAAGGGGCTGAGATGGGCTGAGCGTTTCGGAAACTTCTGAGTCAATGCAGCCTGGCAGGCTGTGCAACGAAATCTCGCTCGGCAGAAGGAAGCGTACGACAAGGTCAAGGAGGAGCAGCTGAAGCAGAAGCTGAACTTCGAGCAGGCGGGCCTGCTGGGCGCGCTGTGTTGTGGCACCGTCGGCTCATTGGTCTGCTCGCAGGTCCTGGCACGGCTGGAGCAGGAGAAGTCCTTCTGGTCATTGCCTGAATGAACTTCTACTTGGCCTGCACAGCAACCAGTGCATTCATACTGTTTTCAGGTTTCTGAAGCACTGCCCAGAAGCTACTCAGACAATGGTGCGCCGTCGTCTTGAGATAAAGCCTGGAAATGTTTGAAGATTTTGGGGGGACACAGCTTGGCTGGAAAGTATGACCTGTACGTGCCAGGTTGCCGAGATGATCCTTCCTCGAGCACTGACTTCGTATGCAGGCCAGATCAAGCGAGTGAAGCTTGCGCACGCCAGTTTGGTCACTGCCTGACCCAGAATATGCTTTGACGTTTTGAGTACATGACCCCGCTGTGCAGATGCTCTCTTCTGCTGCAAGTTTGCGCGGCTTCTCATTCGGATGAAGACTCCGGGGTGTCTTGGCCGTCTTTGGTACAGATGCAGCAGATGCTTTAACGACCCCGTCGTAGCGTGCGCGTTAAGAAGCGTGCTTCGAGAAGCCAGTTGACCAAATGCAGGTGTAGATCCGTTTGGATGGTCGTTAGGTGTTCTTTTCCCGATGCTTCTTCGAAGGAACAACAAGGAGTAGTCAGAACAACACTAGTAGCAAGAATCAAACCGACGAAATCTGTTCTGCTGCTGCCACTGCTGCTACTGCTCGTCATGCGACTACGACTGCTACTGCCTCCACTGCTATTGCTGTTGTTGCTGCTGCTGCTG